ATATATATATATATATATATATATATATATATATATATATATATATATATATATTAGTATATTTAGGTTAAAATATAAAATATACACACTTTTATTTTTTATTAATATTTAATATTAAAAATACCTTTTTGACAAATATACTTCATTTTTATTTTATTTTTGTACATAATTGGTTAAATATTGTATATATTAATAATTAATACATTTACTTAATGAAATTAGGGTTTTGCCCTAAAATACATAAAAAGTCCAAAATTAATATTTTTATTTTTTGTTTCCTTTATACATAAAAAAAACTTTTTTTTCATACATATAAAAACATTTCTTTTGCATCTTGCATATTTATTTTATTTCCATTTAATTTGTGCAATTAAATATCTTGTAAATAATTCAATTTTGATGTAATAGTTTAGGTTTAAATTCCTTGTCAAAAAAACCCCCCATTTGAACATTTATACCCCCTTCCCATATATTGTGTTGTAATAGCTTAGTAAATTTATTTTTCGCACTTTATCGCTTTCTAAATATACCATGTTAGAATTAGGGTTTGTATGCGAATCAAAAACAACAAAAATAGTTTGAGCTAATTTCAAGATAAACAAGCATGAAAATGGACAACACTAATCACACTTGCACCCCTAGGGTATTCCACTTGTTGCCTTCAATAAATGGGCCATATTGCATGTTAGGTCTCTTTGGGCAAAACAAACAATTCAAATGATCATGGTCCCTCGATGACGCTTTCGGAAGTTGCTTAAAAATGATCAAGTCCCTTAAAGAAAATTGCCCAAAGATACTTGGCACCATTGCAATTATGGTCTAAACGATGACCCGCGTCCGTCCCTTTCACATCCTAACACAAGATTGCCCACCAAATGCAATGGTGGAGCAAACTTGTTAAAAGGGTTAAAACATAGCAATAATCTTTGAGAAATTTAGGAGTAGACAACCTCTTAGTTACTTGAATCAAACTTGCAAAACAAAACACTTGCCTATTTTCTAAAACCACACATCACAACACTTTCAAAAACAAATGAAAACCTTTTCAAAAGACGTACACCTTTGTATACATCCCAACATGGATCATTACAAAGGTTGCCACCACATTGGCTTCTTTTCAAAACATTTTCAAATCCAGACACACAAAGCACCATTTCAAACAATTGAAAATAAGGCAAGTTGATCTAAGCAAGTAACTAAGAGCCCATGGATAACCATGGATAGAAAGGGTGCTAATACCTTCCCTTTCTATAATCTACTCCCCGAACCCAAGAAAACATCTCAAAGGTTTTTGCTGTGCTTTTTAAACCTTTCCTTAGGATAAAATAAAAAGTCGGTTGCGACTCTTGCTCAACCGAAACATTTGCGAATATAAACGCAAAACCATAGTCAGTTCTCCCACCGTATCACAACATGTATACGCCTATGTTTATGCTCACGACGCAAAAAGACTATGTTAGCACATACGTCTGCGCCTATGCTTGCACTCAATATAAAGTCTACACACATCCACGTCTACGCCCACATTTACAACATAAAAGGCTACACATATACCAATACATACATCTACGATTACACATGCGCTTACAAAATACAAATCTACACACATGCCATTACATACGTCTACGTCTACGTCTTCACCTGCACTCACAGTACAGAAAGTCAATGTTCAAATTTTGCTAACACTTTTCACTGTATTCAAATCAAATTCAACAATGCTATGACGACACAACATACAAAGCCAGGGGATTGGTAACTCTAAGCCAATGGTTTAAAGGAGAGAATGCCTGAAATAGTCTTCATTGTAAGTACGAAGTGCGCCTAAGAGGGGGGGGGGGGTGAATTAGGTACTTTAAAAAATTCTGGTTTTTTAGTGATGATGGATATTATTTTTCTGGTTAATGGTGAGTTTAGGAAAGCGTAAAGTGCAGAAAAATAAAGAGACACGGGCGATATATCCTGGTTCCCCTCACAGTCCGAGAGTACTCCAGTCCCCTTTCAACATGAAAGAGATTTCCTTATTGTGGCAAACTTAAACAAGAACTACCAAAAAGACAAGAACAATCCTCTTGGACCAAGAACAATCCTCTTCGATTTTCACTATGTCAACTATGAGAATAATCCTCTTAAAGTGACTACACTTGTATCCAACAATCCTGGAAACACAAGATTTTAAAAACACTTAAACTTATTTCTAACAATCCTGGAAAAATAAGTAAGTAACTATCAATATTTGAGTTTCAGTGAGTTGAGTAGTATTGATCACTTAGAGTGATTTAACAATGAATGATCTTCTCTTCCAATAATATTATTGTACAATGACTCAAGATATAATTTCTCAAAGTTTTCTGTTTAACAAAGTATGAAAATGTGCAGAAAACATATGTATGAAAGTGAAGGAATGCTTGAGTTTGTAATTTGAAAATTCAGAAAGTATACTTGGAAGAGGTGTTGAAAATGATTTTGAAAATGAATATTTATATATTTATAGCACCCTTTTGAAACATCATGAAGTTCTGAAAATGAATCATGAACAAATGCCAAGATTGAGTGAAAGGTTTCAATGAAAAGGTATTATGAACAAGCATGTGAAAAGCTGTTGTTTTTCAAAATCGTGCAGCATGCAATCGATTGCACCCTTTGTGTAAATCGATTGCACAGGGTTTCAACAACTATATTTTCAAAAGTTTTAAGTGTGCAATCGATTGCACAAGTAATGTAAATCGATTGCATGTGAAGTCAGTAGCAAAAAGTAAGTGAGTGTAATCGATTGCACAAACAATGTAAATCAATTGCACTGAGAAATAGAAGCAAACGTTTTGAAAATTTTAAGTATGCAATCAAATGCAATAGCAATGTAAATTGATTACACAGAGAAACAAAAACAAAAAATCTAAAAAATTGAAGCATGAAATCGATTGCACTAATATGCAAATCGATTGCACTCAAGTGAAAAATGAATTTTAACTTTGAAAAACTTGAGTAATGATTTATAAAACATTTCTTATTCATCATTGAGCATATATATCTTAAGATCAAAGTAGGTAATATCATTATACCTTGAAAGTTGTTGAGAGCTTTGAACTGAAGATTTTGTCCATAGATGCTTTGAGCTTGACCATAAATCTTTGCCTTCTTTGTCAATCATGGTTTGTCTTCATCAAAACAAAAGTTCATTGAGAAGTTTGATTTTACATTCTCCCCCTTTTTGATGATGACAAACAATCTTGCTTTATGCGTTGTACTTTCCGGAAAGAGCTTTTCTCCCCCTAAGATGCAAAACTCCCCCTATGTATGAGAAGGTTGGAATCCTTTGTATTTCTTCATCTTGGTTGGAAAGTACATTTTAAAAATTAAGACAAGGAAAAATACAAGCATAAAGTACCACATCTTTCTCCCCCTTTGACATTATCAAAAAGAAGGGAAAGATGCACAAAACAAACAGTAATAGAGCAATATATCGAGAAAACTTGAATTTAAACAAGCAACACAAATTGTTTAACGATTACACAGAAGTTTAATAAACAAAACATTGAATAACAAGACAAGGAAATAACAGAAAATAGAGTTAGCCAGAACTTCAAGGGTGATGCATGTCCGGGTGGTTATAGGACCAAGAGCCTTGATTCAGAAATTGTTGTTGAAGTGGAGGTTCTGTGTAGTGTTGAGGAGGTGCAGCTGGATTATTTGGATCATATGGTGGAATATGAAGATGTGAGTAAAGGTATGAAAATTGTTGATTCACATCTGTGCGGAAGTCATTAATTTGGGTTGTAGTAGAATCATTAATCGCATTCCATTGATTGTTGATGTTGGTGTTCATGGAAGAAAATTGTTGAGACATGTAATCCATAAGCTCTTGATTGCTTGGACCAAAGGGAGCAGTAGGTGGAGGAGGCACAGCTTCACCGCCTTCGACTTCTTGATCGTCCCCTTCATCGCCAACAACATCTTCACCAATGTAAGTGACAGTTTTTGTTTCCGGATTGTAATGCACACCCATTAAGGAGTCAACATTCTTGATGGAAATCTTATTCTGATTTGGATCCATATTCACTTTTTGAAACCCAGCAAAATCCACTCCAAATTCCTCCATAATTAAAGTAACCATAAGCATATGGAAGAAATTTAGATTTTGCGTCGACTCTCAGCATATGCACCATTATAAGTCTTGCCCAGTTAACACTTATCCCTTTCTTTCTTTCATAAATTAGCTGCATTTCCAGGTCGGTCACAGTGCAGTGGTTTCCAGCTCTTGGAAACATAATATAGACCACAAAGTAATGATATAGGCGACCGTCTATATAGAAGTTACCTGCACTCCAGGAGTCTCTGGATGAAATTACTCCGCCTAGACCACGAATCCGTTTGGCGCGGAATTCAACTTCACTTAACCTCCCAATGCTGTAAAAGAAATCCTTTTTCCGATAGTCATCCCATATCTCGTTTTCAGGGTCATATAGAGAACTTCCAGTGTAAGGAATATGAAGAATCTCACCAACAACCTGAGGAGTTAGAGAAATACGAGTACCCAGCACATATGTCACCATTTTGCCTTTTTGAGAAGTTAGATTCCTTCTAAAGATAGTTCAGATACGCACCAGATATGGATGACATTCTGATACTTATTCCAGATTCCTTCTAGAGATAGTTCAGATACGCTCCAGATATGGATGACATTCTGATACTTATTCCAGATTCCTTCTAGAGATAGTTCAGATACGCTCCAGATATGGATGACATTCTGATACTTATTCCAGATTCCTTCTAAAGATAGTTCAGATACGCTCCAGATATGGATGACATTCTGATACTTATTCCAGATTCCTTCTAGAGATAGTTCAGATACGCTCCATATATGGATGACATTCTGATACTTACTCTAACAGTCTTTGAGTTCAATATCTCTGCTTAATGATTAATTTATTTGAAAAAAAGACTATATATACATCTTTGAGATGAATATTGATGTATCCATATTCAAACTTGGCTTTCTAAAACTATAAGAAATAAGTAAGCTGCTCTTTTTTCTTCTTCCTTGAACCTCCTCCTGCTCCATACAAATCATTCCACTGCTCTAGCATTTTCATATTTGATCCTTCTTCAGCAAAGCTTGGAGTCACCTGTATATTTACACATTCATATATCAGTTTTTATGCATAGACATAAGTATTCAGCTGGTAGAAGACAAGACATTCATTCTTCCAGTAGTGATGTCATTGAAAAAAATTACGCTTAAAATCCATGACAAAATATATAATTTGATCAAATAGAGACGACTGAACCAGTTTATTATCTCCTGCAAACACTTTAACAGTGTCTAAACAGCACATGTGCTGCTATCTTAACTTTGGTTATTATGTATAAGGTATTGCTAAATCAAAAGATAAATATAAACACAAACTGCTTTCATATAAGCTTTTAAGAAGTTTTCATAATTTATCCTTGAGAGCTTTATAGAAATAAGCTGAAAACAACTTACGGACATGCTATAAGCTGTTTCCATAAGTTTTTCCAAACAGACTCACACTTAGTTATGTCGGTATATAATCTCAAATAAGTTAATAGAAAGAAGCCGTAACTAAATCTACAACAATAGAAGTGAACAGTTATAAGTCTAACACACCTTATTCTTTGCATCTCTCATGTCTTCCATATTTAAAGGCCTAAGGGCAATCACTGGATCTTCTTCCGTAGCATTGGAGGCAACTTTTGAGATTTCAGCTTCTGCCTCTTTTTTCTTCTTTTTCTGAAATAAGTGGCCATTTCTTAGCTTTACAGCGCATGAACACTAGTACACGTTGTATAGAAATCATTTTAACAATAACATTATTAGAAGTGATTAAGTAACTATACCATTTCTTTGGCCTTCTCCTGTTGCATTAGCTCCTTAAGAGGACGATATGCTGCAGTCATGCACAAGTTCTGTTTACAGAGATTAATGTCAATATATCATCATCACCAGAAACCAGAAGTATAGGTATAGTGAATAAGAAATAGAGAATAGCCAACAAATCGAACCTTAAGATCACTCCCACTATATCCTTTTGTCTTAGTTGAAAGCTCTTTGAAGTCTATATCTTCAAGTTTATCCTTAGCTAGAAGAGTTTTCAAGATCACTTCTCTGTTTTCAGCAGATGGAAGACCAACCATGATCCTGCAAAAAATTGTCAGGCTCGTTAACTGCACAAGGTTTGTTTATCTAAAGGTAAACTCAATCTAGTGATATTGCGAGCGAAAAAGATATTACACTAGAGCATGTGCAACATTTGATCACGATTCATAACAAATGTGTGTTTCTACCTGCGCTGAAACCGTCTTATAACTGCTTCATCAAGGGCAAATGGCATGTTGGTTGCAGCAAGAACAATAATTTTCTCATCAGGTTTTGACAAAAGTCCATCCCAATGGGTCATGAATTCATTTTTAATACTTCTCACAACGTCTTGCTCATTCATAGTCCGCCTCCCAAGCAAGCTATCAACTTCATCAACGAAAATAATAGTCGGGGCAACCTTTGCCGCTAACGAAAACAGAGCCCGAACATTCTTTTCACTTTGTCCAAACCACATACCAGTGATGGTAGACGAAGAGATATTGATGAAACTTGCTCCAGCTTCATTTGCAATTGCCTTTGCAAGCATTGTTTTTCCTGTACCGGGAGGTCCAAAGAGCAATACACCTTTACATGGCTTCAATAACCCACCGCCTTTGAATAGATCTGGTCTTCTAAGGGGAAGCATAACTGCTTCTTGAAGTGATTCTTTAACATCATCCAATGCACCAATATCTGAAAAACTCACCTTTATCTCATTTGCAGAGATAAGCTCTTGTCTTATTAACTTCTCATAGGAGTTGTCAGGAGGATCATTCTGCAAACATGCATAAATTAGCAAAACATATGGAAATTAGTTAAACATGAAAGCTGAGCTTATATATCATGAACTGCATTTTTTTGCAACGTTGTAACAAAGTATGCATATTAGGTTATTTAATAAAAAAAATTGGCCATACAGGTTTTGTAGTAGCTTCAATATCACTGTCTTTCTTTGTCCCGTTTGAAACAGCTTTAGTATCACTGTCTTTCTTTGTCCCGTTTGAAATAGGTTTAATATCCTTGTCTTTCTGTGCCCCGTTTGATACAGGTTTATCTTTTCCAGCATCATCCTAACGGAAAAAAAAATGATCAAATTTTTTTCAATTAGTTAAATAAGCATTCAACTATCATTCATTGCTATTGTCGAAAAAAATAACTATCATGCTTTTTCTATTTGGATTATTCATTAGATGAATCATTATGCTTTGGTTGAAGAACAGTCGACAAACCTTTTTTGACTCTTTTTCAGTGTTGTTTTCATCCTTTTCACCACTTTCACCCTCCTTAAAAAGGCTCAATACATGGCACAAACTGCATATGTCTAATATTAGTAACCACAAAACTATTTCTTCTCTAAATAAATTAAATTGCATAAACAGTTATTTCCAAGACCTTTACCTCGTGGCCGATATAGTTAGGATTCCATTTCGGTACTCTGGATTTTCAGTATTCTTCAAGTGATAAAAAATTGTAGATGCCACAATCTCTTCGGTGTGTTTACTAAGTAGCATCATGTCAGTACCGCTAACTGAATGCAAGATATTATAATCGATGCCATTTTTTGCAAACACTTCAGCAATGTGGGTGGCTTTATCTTCCAAAGAAGTCTTTTCCATGGCCTTTTTTAGTTGCTCTGTCCAGATTTTGAGATGAGCCTTATCCTGAGGCGGTTTAATCTCAATATTGTAAGGGAATAACATAGTGAGTTTTTCATTGATTTCTGTATAGCTATCTTTTAAATCATCTGACCTAGAACCGAGTATCAACACTGGTCCTGAAAGTTTATCGAATAGCTTTTTGAACAAAATGTATATCCTTGGTGATCGAAGAAAGATCTTCTCAACATTCTTGATGTATAAAATGACAGAACCAGTTTCTAATAAAGAAACCAAGACCTGTAAAATTTTTATAAGATTTTTTTGTTAAAACTGAACTTGTGGCAAAAGATCCTAACAAATTAAGATTAGTTATATTCATAGAACGCAAATTTGAGCTTTGCGTGATATAATCACCTTGTAGAGTGAATATAGAAAAAGCTTTTCATTAAAACAGTCCTGGCTTTTGCACTTCGAAGGAGCTGAAAACAAAGTGTAAAAACATTCATTATTTTGAAGACGTGAATGAACAAACTCCATAACAAGTAATTGTAAAAACACGAAATATAATGTTTAGAAACTTTAAGTGCTACTACCTTTAGTAGCTCTAATTACACCTGTTGAAGGGAGGATCAGCAGGTGACTAAATAAACCAGACACACTCTCCCAAGTCGCCTCAAATATGGACCTTTTTAAATGCTGATATATAAGAAACAAGTTAGAAAATTTCAATATGGACCAAAAATTATTAAAATTCATAGCAAAAATGAAAGGTGGAGCAACAAAACTTACTGGTTCTTTTGTAGAACATCCATCTTTGTCCTGCATCTGTACAAGCGAAAACATGAAAGGTATGATTACATTACATATATAACACAAATCAAAGCAAATAAAGTGCAAAGATGTGAATATAAGTACCTTCAGAGAGAAGTAATCAATATCTAGATAGAGTAACTTGGATTCAAAGCAATTGGCTAAAGCTTTGGCAAGCATATAATGATAAAGCTCTTCACAAATAAAAATATCATTAGAGTTAGTAATATGACTCGAAATCCAAAATAATTATCGCGTTACAAGACAGGGTTTGTACACAATATACCGATAGGTTCAGAAAGCAAAATAGCTCGGCTCAGTGGCGAAAGGTTGGTAGTGTGGTTGGATAGGTCATGTTGTCTTAAATGAAAATATCCAGCACTTGTCAACAAAATTTTGATCCTTTCACTGTAATGTCAACAAGAATGTTGTTAACCTTGTTTTTTATTAAAGAAAAATAGAAACTTTTTGAAAGAACATTAGGCTAACAAATACAACACTACCTTAAGTAAAAAGGAAAGTTATCAAATGTGACATCACTATCCTTTCCCTCAATGACTTGTTCCATGAGGAACTCCATAAACTGATCCTGAGAAATCTGATTAGACTCAGAAACACTTCCAATCCCAACAATTTTTCCCATTATCACACCCAATTCAGCTCCTATATGAAAGAAAAAGGAACAAAACAAAACCCTAACTTGTTGAATCACAAAAAGTTTGCTACTTTAACGAACTAGTAACAGATTTTATCACCAGAGTTTGGAAAAAACACAGAGGAACAAAAAAGTATGTTACGGTAAACTTGCAGTCTAAGTTTAAATCCTTATACTCACTAATAGGTTGTAGCATAATACACTTGATCAATTTATAGGGTTTAGATTTAAATCTTCCCTAAATCTTTGCTATTTTTTTTTTTTTACTAATTCTCTGGACTCTAGATTTAAATATATTTATTAGTTACAAAATCAATCTACATATTCTTGGACTTGAATCCTGTCATTCATATTTTTCGCCATAACTATCGCCTTCTATTTTTTTTTATCAATTTTTTTAAAGATAAAATTTATGTGCATTTTTTTAGATTTGATTTATGTTTTTTTTTCAATTAAAATATAATAAATATATAATTTCTTCTTATATATATAATTTTTTTTTTATATTTAAATATATTCATCATATTTTTATTGGAGAAAAATATAAATTACATTTATAAAATTATATCTAAATACTTTTTTTTTAATACTATTTCTTTTGATGAAAAAGAAAAAAGGAGAGGATCCATGATACATATTCTATATTTATTTATTCATTTTAAAATTATTCTATATCTCCGAGGGATCGATTTTCCTAAATTTATTGGATTATTTTTCTTAATAATTTATTATAAATATTTTAAATTTTATGAATTTGATCTTTAAATTCGAAGTTTATATTAGGTAGATAATGTGTATAATTTTTTTAGTTCAATAATCATAGTTATGTTATTGAATGGTTAACATATATTTGTTTTTTTTTTAAATTATTCTCATGGTCCTTTAAGTTATTTTATTGTAACAAGTTAGTTTTTTATTTTTTATTTATAAGTTGGTTTTTTATGTTAACTAATATTTGCAACGTTGATCTTATTCACAAAATTCATTTTAAAAAAATTGAGTTGGCACAAATGACGCTGATGTGTCATTTAACAGAGCTAAATATGTAATTGTTTTATATTTCTTGTATTTCTGGAGAAAAAGAAGAGAAACGGGAACCCAAATTGAAGGACATATTAACCCTAATTCTCACTGCTCCATCAATGGCATCATACAGTAGCAGTGGACCGAATCAAAGATGTCAGAAGTCTAATATGTTCATTTCGAGTGCATCTCAACCTGGAATTGAACCGACATGTCTGTGTGGAGCCAAAGCAGTGTTAAGAACAATTAAGAAGAAAGGAAGAAACTCAGGGAAGCTATTTTGGGGATGTAAATAATTTGTGGTACGTTTGGTGTGCATAGTTTGATATATTTGATTTAGAGTTTGACATTATTGATTTATTTGATGAGGTTGATGTACTGGTTTATGTTATTGTTAACATAGTAAAGCTGATAGTGCCAGTTACAATTTCTATTAGTGGTACGAAAACCAACACGGTGATGAAATTAAACCCGAGATATAGAATTCAACATGATCTAAATGTGATGAAAAGCATGTAGAAATCAACATGCTTAGAAGGGGCATTGAAAATGATGACAACTAAACTCAGAATATAATGAAGAATATGTTGAAGATGTTGAAGTTGCTAGTTTATATGATAATGTTTTTAGTTTTAATTATTGTAGTGTTGATATGTAGTTTGGTTCAAAAGTGGTGATCATTTCTAATTTTGATGTTAGTGTTATAAGACATGTATTTTAGATCTTTGATGTAAAATTTGTTGACAATGAGTAATTCATCATTTCTGTCTATTTCCTGTTGTAGTTGTATATTATTATGTGTTGAAATTGTATACTAATTTTGTTACAATAAGGTCATAATTTGCACAACAACTAAAATTTGAAGGACCTGTTTGTTACAATTAAAAATCAAAAAAGACTTGCTTGTTGGAATTAATAACATAGTTAGTTTATTTTTGTTACAATAATTTGAATCTTAAAATGACTTGTTTAATACCAAAATCGGGTTGATGTTATAACATAATCATAACACAAACTTATACATTGTAATAGAATTCAGAGCATAAACTTTATATATTGTTATAGAATTCAAAGCAAATGTATAAAGTAAACCAAAACAGAATTTCCAAAATACATTATCAAGAACCAAAGTATTCTTAAAACAGCTTGCCCAAAATACAAACACATTAATAACAATTTAATTGCTTTTTCTCTTTGTTTCCATCTTTGGTCTCTAGGTTATTGGTGGTTGGAATGTTTTTGTGGGTCTCTGTCTTCCTCTTCTCATGGAAACTAATTGGGAAACTATCATGGTCTGTCGTGTCTGGATTCTTGAAGTTGATGATGACAGCCTAGTTTGAACTCTTTGGGTTGGTTGGGATTGGACATTTGAGATTGGATGGATTGTCTGGGATTATCTAGTTTGAACTCTTTGGGTTGGTTGAGATTGGACAATGGTGGCAGGTTGGGATTGGACAATGGTGGGAGTTTGAGATTGGACAGTGGTGGAAATTTGGGATGGTCTTGGTGTAGTTGGGCTTGAAGATTTGTTGTGACCAGAAATACCATATACTGAGCATTTGTTAGGCAGTCCCTTTTTGGAAATATTTGTGACATCCTTTCTCTTTTCATCGACAACTTTGTTTCTTCTTCTTTTTGTCCTCCTTGGTGCTTTTCTTGAAGGTGGTGGAAGTCTGTCAAGATATGGTGTCAGCTCTCATAAATTTTCACCATTTGTTGGATATATGAATGGTTGGTAGCAAGTCTGGTAAGTCTCCTTCCTGTAAAAGGGAGGAATGTACTCTACTGGGTCTTCGCATCTACTTTGCATGCAAGTAATTACATGGTAGCATGGAATGCTAGTGAGTATCCAACTCTTGCAAGAGCATTCCAACTTCTTGAGATCAATTGTGAATTTCTTTCCACTCATACTTGTATGCATGACTTCATAAATCTTGTCACCGAATAACCTTTATAGCAAATGAAATTCACTGAGTTAGTGTAAATATTCATAACAAATTTGTATATTGTAAATTAATTATTGAATTACCTTGCTATAAAGAACCTTAAGATTTCTTGCCTTCTTTGGAGCATTTTTTTAATTCTTGGAAGTACAGAGTCATTATAATCTTTAATCTTGGCTCTATTAGTTGCCCATCTATCCATGAGGTACCCTCTAATCTCCTATAACATTGTTACACTTGGCTTTTGTCTTGGTTCAATTATAACATTATTAAAAGCTTCTGACATATTGTTGACCAACATATCACTTTTTGTATTATAATTGAACATGGACTTACTCTAAAATCTAGGTGGAATCTTCAGCGAGTATTTGAATGCCTCCTCATTAACCTTATTTATTTCCTTCATTTATCTTTCCCATGCTTGGGGATATGTTGCCTTGGCTGCCTTCCATATTAATTCCTTCAATTGTTTTCCTGGAAACCTTTTTCTGAAGTTGCTATACAAGTGTCTAACACAAAATCTTTGGTCAACTTTAGGTAACAAATCCTCTATTGCAGGTAAAAAGCCATACTCATATAATCAACAAATAATGTTACAATTTAAAATCATGCAATACTTTTATGTTGCAATTTAAAATCAAAGAATTTTACCTTCTACTGATTTGAAATGAAAGTAATATGTTTGCATACTTCTGGTCCTCCCAAGTCTTTAATTAGTAGATCAAAGAACCATGCCCAAGAGTCTTTAGCCTCAGCTTCAACTACAGCCAGTACAATGGGAAACATTTGGTCATTGGGGTCTTTACCTACTGCTGCAAGAATCTGACCTCCATAATTGCTTTTGAGAAAACATCCATCAACTCCAATTATTGGTACATGTACAGTCTATGAAAACTTCTCTTGCAAGCATCAAGGCACATGTACAGTCTATGAAAACTTGGTAGTAATGGTATGCTAACATATTCCTCAGGTTGTTATTCAATTTCAACAGGTTGTGGTTCAGTTGCTTGGACATTCATCTTGATGGTGCTGTTTGGATTAGACCTCAATAGCTCATGGATTAGGTCTCAATAGCTCATGTGTGTAGTCATATAATCTCTGATATTGCTCCTTAAATGATCCTTAAACAACATTTAGTGCTTTCTTACATGCCCTGCAAGCTTTCATCTTATTCATACCAGCATTCCATTTCTCATGCACTTTTTCACATATAGTACTTAGTTTCACATTAGCGTTGACTCTAACTATTGAGTCTAATTTTTTCCCAAGCCAATTAGTGTTAAACATCCTAACATTGAACTCTCTATTACAAGTGTGATTGTCATTCAGTGTTCTCAATTTCCATGTATCTTCATTAGGAAATTTGGAACACAAAGCAACCCATCCACACCCTTCCTTGCAGCCCACTCTTTTATACATCAAATTTGTCCTACCTCGATGATTTTTGAATCAGAAAGACTAATAAAGTTATTCGCGAATCATGTTGGCCTAGGGCCCATGAGATTCGAAAATGGAAATTTGTTTCAAAATTAATAATTACTAAGTTATTAAAATATTAAGTCTTTAATTCTTAAAGCCAACTTAAGTTTAAGATGTTTGAAGTTAAATTAAATTAAAGTCATCTAGAAATTACTGTTGTTAGTAAAGAAAAAGGGGGTGTGGAGTTTCATTTAAGGCCCATCAAAGTTCTTTGGAAATTAGCCTATTTGTTGTTTAGAGAAAATTGATAAAAACATTTTTTGTTATAGTAAATTTACTAAAATAAAAAAAAATGTTTTATAAAACAAAATACTTGGTTATTAGATGTTTTATTAAGAGTCTTATTTTAAAGAAAATTTGGATAGACTGATTTGTTAACGTCAATTTGTTAGGCCTAATCAACGTTTGTCATTTACTGTTTTTCAAAATAAAAATGCTATTGTTGAAACAATTTTTGTTTATTAGATACTTAGTTTTAAAGATCATTTCTAAAAAAAAAACTATTTGAAAAAAACTTGTTTGAAAGGGAATTGGGTCGGGTTA